TTCGCGTTGAAGAACTTTGAAGGGTCCTTCGTATGCTGATTCGAGGGGTCGTCGATGTGAGTCTCGACGAACGAAGACGTGTGTACTATGTTGTAATTCGGGTTGAACGAAAACATCAGTTGATTGAGGTCGAGTGTGAGCAGGTTTAACTGAACGCATAGCGTTTCTAAGCCTACTCGTGTAAGAGTTTAGATCCATGTTCAATGAAGAAGCTGAAGGATCCACGAATTCTCCTGGGAGTCGGAGTGTCGTTCCGTAAACGAGTTGAGATGCTGTGTATCCAATGTCAGCTTTCACTGCATTGCGGATACCTAGCAAGACGAGTGGAAGAGCGTCTTTCCACTGTGAAACGTTTGAAGCTGATAATGAAGCTTTAAGTTGTCGATGAAAACGTTCTACCAACCCGTTTGCTTGTGGGTGGTAGGCGGTCGTTCTGAAGCGCGTGATTCCTAATAGTGAGGTCAGACAACAGAAAAGTCCAGATTCGAACTGGCGTCCGCGGTCTGTAGTGATTGTGGAAGGGCAGCTGAAATTTGCTACCCATCGTTCGACGAAAGTGCGAGCCACTGTTTCAGCAGTAATGTCCTTAATCGGTACTGCTTCTGGTCATCGAGTAAAACGGTCTACGCATGTTAGGAGATATGAGTATCCGTTCGAGTCGGGTAAGGGTCCTACCAAATCTAGATGGACGTGGTCGAAACGAGCGTCAGGGGTTTTGAAAGAGCCTAAGGGACATTTGTTGTGTCTGATCACCTTAGATTTCTGACAGCTTACACAGGAGCGTGACCACTCCCTCACGTCTTTATTCATGCCAGGCCAACAAAAGCGTTCGGCTATAAGTTCGATTGTTGCACGAGCACCTGGATGAGAAAGATTGTGCAACGTATTGAAGACGTTGCGGCGATAGTGTTTTGGTACAATTGGACGATCCCTACCCGTAGATGTGTCACAGAGTAAGGTTTCCTTACCTGTTCCCATCTGCTTAATACTTAGTTTAAGAGTTGTCGAGGATAACTCATGCTGAAGATCAATGTCTTCTTTTTGAAGCTGAGCGAGTTTAAGAAGGTCGATTCCTTGGAAACTGTTCAAGGAACTTATTCGAGACAAGGCGTCTGCGACTACATTGTTAGCTCCAGAAATATGTTGTATGTCTGAAGTAAACTGCGAAATGTAGTCGAGTTGTCGAGACTCTCGCGGTGAGTACTTGTCTGAAGATGAACTTAATGAGAAGGTAAGAGGTTTGTGATCGGTAAAAAGCGTGAATTCTCTTCCTTCGATGGAATGTTGGAAATGCCGTACAGCACAATACATAGCTAGGAGTTCCCTACCGAACGTGGTGTACCTAGATTCCGCGTCTAGCAACCGTCTCGAGAAAAATCCTAAAGGTTGCCACGAGTTGTTAACCCATTGTTGTAAGACTGCTCTGATTGCTGAGTCGGATGCGTCTACGGCTATACTAATGGGCGCTTGACTGTCCTGATGAGCAAGCAAGGTTGCTTTAGCGATGTGTTCCTTAACTGTGGAAAATGCTTTACGGGTTATGTCGTCTAAACTAATTGATTTCGCATTTCCACGAAGCTGATCGGTTAACAGTTTCATAAGGGATGCGCATTTAGGTATGAACCGTCTATAGAAACTTACAAGTCCGTTAAAAGTTCGTAAGTGCTTGATCGTGGTCGGTTCTGGGTAATCCAGAATGGCCGCCACTTTGCTCCTAAGGGGTCGGATGCCTTGGGCATCAATGGTGTGTCCTAGGAAGTCTAAGGAGTTTGTTCCGATTTGGCATTTCTGTATGTTGACAGTAATGCCATGCCTTTGGAGTCGATCGAAAACAATGTCCAGATGCTTGAGATGCGATTCTCTGTCCGGACTTGCTATTAGACAGTCATCAACATACGCATGTACGAAGTTCAGACCTCGGAAGACGTCGTCTATAAACCTTTGGAAGGTTTGAGCCGCGTTTCTTAAACCAAAGGGCATTCGTAGAAATTCGTAACGACCGAAGGGAGTGATGATGGCGGTTTTAGGAATGTCGTCAGGTGCCATCGGTATTTGGTTATAAGCCTTAACTAAGTCGATTTTCGAAAAGACAGTTGCACCTTTCAAGGTAGCTGTCAAATCGTGAATATGAGGCAGCGGGTAACGATCGGGAATGGTTTTAGCATTCAGACGCCGATAATCACCAGTTGGCCGCCAATCATTGCTGTCCTTTTTAAGGACCATGTGCAATGGGGATGCCCATGGACTATTCGATGGTCGAATTATTCCTAGGTCAATCATGTGGTTGAATTCGTTTTTAGCTAACCTAAGCTTTTCGGGAGCGAGTCTTCGGGCTTTCGAAAATACAGGTGGTCCTGTAGTCGAGATGTGATGTGTAACATTGCTGGTTACACAAGGTAATTTCGATTGCGATTGGTATATCCCGGGGTATTTGTCGAGTACTGCTTGGTACAAGGGGTCTATGGCGTGCTTAATCGTGACTGGGGATAACCTGCAACCAAAACAAGGAGTTACGCAAACGGACAACTTAGTGTTTCCGTCTATTAACCTTCGTACGCGTGTGTCGATGAGTAGATTGTGGTGTTGCAACAGGTCAATACCAATGATTGGCATAGAGACATCTGCAACCACGAAAATCCAGTGTATGGGTTTACGTAAACCCACGTTAAGGTAGACGTACCTTTTACCGTAAGTAGCGATCGGCTTTCCGTTTGCCGCCTGTAAACTTAAAACAGACTTGAGAAGTCTGTCGTCGAGATTTGCTGGAAGAACGCTAACTTCTGCGCCAGTGTCGACGAGGTAGCGAACTTTCGCAGTCACATCCGTGACATATAAGAGGCGGCTGTGTTCGCCGGCTACGGTTGCCGTTAACGCGTGCCGGCTGGGAAGTTTCCCGAAATCTTATTAGTGTCAGTCGATTTTGAAGTCGGATAATTGCAAGGTTTCCTGCAGTTTCTGGAAAACTTACCGTACTGGTTATGATACCAGCGCCAGTCGGGATTGTCTATCTCTCGTGGTCGAGAGCCAGATCGCCTACGTGAGACACTTCTACTCGGGGTTTTTGACCGACTACGGTCATTACGAACTCTAAGATATCGTGTAAGCGTGTGACATAGTTCGGCCATGTCAGTCGAGGTCGATTGGGGTTTTTCTTTGATGGAAAAAACCTCGGCCTTAGAAGATCTAGTGATTTCCAAGATTCGATCGGCAGATGCAGCTAGTTCATCTATGGCATTGTTTTGAAATGAAACAAGCACTGCCTGCACCTGTTGAGGGAGTTTAGACAAGAAAAGTTGTCTAAATAGGCCATCATCGAAAGTTCGTTGGCCGATGACTTCTCTCATTCTAAGCAACATGTCCGTCGCAGAACCATGTTGCAAGTCGATGTTGTTAAGGAGTTGGTCCAACCGTTGTCGATCAGTTAGGTCTCCTCGTTTTAAAATCGATAGCTTAAGCGATTCGTAAGGTTCGGAAACATCACTAGTAAACATACTAGGTGTTACGTACCTGTTAAACTCGCGCGGTAACGCCTTAACTACGGCGAGGAAACGTGTGCGCGAGTCCGTGATTCCGTGCATGCAAAAATCGGTTTCTGCATAGCAGAACCAGGACTCGATATTGTCTGGCCAAAATGGCGTTAACTGAATCGAAATAGGGGGAATAGACTTAAACTTAAGAACCTTAGGAGAGTGTTCCGTCATAGTAATATAGATATCGAAAAATGTCTAAGTAAAATAGATCCGAGAAAAAAAAATCGCGAAAAAAAAGTATATCACAATATATAAAATTCAAATAAAGAATAACAATGAATAATAATATTCCAAAATAGAACAGACTCACAGTATATTGACTTGGTGTACCAGATCACGTCGGGCTCACCAATGATGATGCAACGGATATTCTAGTTTTACAACTAGATACCAGTAGCACCTTCTAAATTCGATTGTTCCCAGTCAGATAGAAATCAGAAGTCAGACGAGAAGAGGCAGGAAAGATATATTTGATTCGTTACCAATATATCGAGGACCCTTTCTATGAGCTGGCTAATGAAACGTAGGAGCTGTGTCCCACGCCGTGTTGAAACGTGATCTGGTACGGATGCATGACCGAAAGCCTTCAGCTAAACAAGTCCACTTAAACACGTGGTCAGCATCCAATGTCGAACACTTAATGGACTATTGATTTTGGGGAATTATTTACAGCTACAACTTAAGTCGTCGACGTTATTGTTTGCGGATGATGTTAAAACCTGGAGAACAATAAGAAATGAGACTGATCGTTGTTATCTGCAAGCAGATTTAGACGAATTAGTTGGGTGGGCTCATGATTGGGGCCTGGAAGTTAATTCCAGGAAAAGCGTGTTCATGCACATCGGGCACGATACTAGTTACCATTATACCATTAATGGTACGTCTCTGCCACGCGTTCATGAGCACAAAGACTTAGGAGTAATTATAAGTCACGACTTAAAAACTACTACACACTGCAATGGGGTTGCTTCCAAAGGCTATCGCGCGCTATGGTCGCTTCGCAGAGCATTTAAATGCTTTGATGAGGATATGTTTCGAATTTTATATCCCACCTACGTAAGGCCACACTTAGAATACTGTATCCAAGCAGCTAGCCCTTGTCTGATAAAGGATACTAAATCGCTTGAGCGTGTCTAGCGTGTAGGGACAAAATTAGTAAAGGGTCTTTCTAAAATCCCTTACGATGAGCGTTTAAAACGTCTAAATCTTTTTCTCTTATCTTATCGTAGGTGACCTTATACTGGCATTTCGTATCTTTAATTATGAATTGGGTGTTAATATGTTTTATCTTTTTACTCCCTCCAGCACTAATAATCTCCGGGGTCATAGCAAGAAGGTTCTGAAACAGCGGGATCCTGTTTTTATCATCGAGTGGTCAATGATTGGAACGCTTTACCAGAACAAGTGGTATCAGCACCATCAGTGAACATTTTCAAAAAGAAGCTGGACCTTCACTGGAAGGAAATCTGTCAGGATTAACATAGGTTCATCAACTTACTATCCTTATTACTGAAGACTGAACAGTGAAGTTATTCATTCACATAAATGCCTTATTTAACAACGATGTGAGCGCGTGAATGTGAGGGATTAAAAATATCTTGAAAACGTTCAGTTGAAATCGCTCGATTTTCAACTGTGGACTACCCGTTAGTTTTCCGACCCATTTACTTACAGCCTGAATTTCCAGTCTGTTTTAATCCAGTTGCTTTGTTATTGCTAACTATTGCATTTACTTCCCATATCTGATGTAAGTGCATTACATGCACTTGCTAGGTTGTCGGTTTTCCTTTCTTCACTATATCTTCATCTTTTCCTACTCACGTTACTTCATGCTCACTTAGTACACAAAGCACCTTCTGGCTAGACATCAACCGCTACAACAGTTTAATACATGGTGAGATACAAGTATACCTATTCACTTCGTTTTCAAGTTAATGGAATACTATATATGATAACGATATCTAAACAACAACGGTAGTTTAGATAAATGTGAAGAATCTAACTTATCTGAATTATGACTATAAATTCTTGCGAACATTTTGAATCGTTGGCATTACTTATACTTAATATCTAATGATGAAATCGCTTATTAACCCTAATGGTCCACTGACGTTCTAGGACTTGGATCCTTCGCATGTTACGGCCTCAAGTTTTGTAGTCTTAATCCAGGTAGGTCATTAATGACCAACTTGGAAAGTTTGTCTACATTCACCTTTTCAACTGCTTGATATTTTACAATATCGGCTATCCTCTCAAACCAGTGGATTATTGAGACATCGAAAGGGTACTATTTCAAAGGCTACCCAACGTACAAGCCCCGATGTGAGCATTCCTAATTCTTCAACAATCCTAAAACTAGCAGTCGATCTCACGGATTATATAGTGACAGTAAATTGTGGCTCATCAAATAGTAGACGAAGTATGAGGATAAACCAAAAGCTACTTCATTACTGTTTGTCTTCTGATTAGCCAATAAATTCCCAACTATCATCGATAAATACAGGCTCTTGATCAATTCTGGGAGATACGATCTTACTCAATTTTATTTGTCGTGTACTAGGCACTACTGTTTCTTACGTAGGTAAGGCTGATACTGCGTTAAGGTTTTCCACTTGGGATCGCTCTTGTCAAAATCATAGGTAATTTTCTATAAAACTAAAAGATACAGTGATTGTGAAGTGTGTAACGAGTGAACAAGCTTTGCCACTTTATAATAAGCAGTTTAGATCTGTGATTTCATACCAGTTTCATGTAGATTTCTTATAGAATACGCTTGTATTTTTTGACTAAGGAATTTTTCATTTTGTCTCCCATTCTGTTCTCAAAAGCCCTGTGATTTCGTCTGATGAGACAGCATGAATGTGTAACGTCGACAGGGCTCAAAACTACACACTCAAATACGTTGCAATTACACAAGCTTTTGATCATTATTTTGATCGTATCCTAGAGATAAAATTGCTTTGTATATACTTCATTTGGACTTGCTCAGTATTCTGTTTGACAACATGGAGTCGAATCTGGCCTATTATTGTGTTGACAGTCTACATGAGACTGTTATACACTAGAGTTATTTTTACTACATGTAAATCAAGTTCACATTGTGTAAATATCAGTAGATATCTCTGATATAAACGTCAAATGAGTATGCAGAAACCGTCTGAAACTTTGAATATCATTTTTGTAAGACCGGTTATTTATTATATAATAGGGTTTTTCCTTCGAAATAACCTTCTTGAAAGACATTACACAACGGCATCATTGGCTGCCACTTGGTCTATAACTACATACATCTTCAAACAGAAGGGATCATAGACTCTAGAACGAGTCGACCGATAAACATGTTAACTTAGAGTCTCTTGACATTGAGTCGATTACCCTAGAAACATCTTTTTCATTTCGTAAATTTATGTTCTCTTCTCAAATCACATCTAATCCACTTTATTTTCACTAATGCTTTTATTATCATTTAACCACACAGACATTGGTACAAGGAGGCACATAAATCATTCGATTTGTTTGGGGGCTGTGATACTGCCCAAGTGCCCGAACCGAAGCAGGTTGTTTTCTCAGGGGGCCACAATCGAAGCCTTAGACTCAAAGGTCTGATCCACAAGACATCGTAAGGAGATACAGTCTCATGGTAGCCGATGACCAACGATTGGTTGTTTCCTTGAAGTACTGGAGCCCATGTGCATCACTGGTTTGGAATGAGGGTTTCCCCACTCCCCTAGGTGGACCCTTTGTATTTACCGTCCCAGTTAGGGCGCCGGACATTCTCTTTTCGTCCTCTTAATTTCGTAAACAACAGTAACGACGTGAGAAGGCAGTGAGTAGGACTTCCCTGGCAGACGTTGTGTACGCGTGGCCGTGTGAGATCATTTCTAGAGGGCGGACTCTTTCCACTCTTTGGCTTACCAGGGCATTTGTGGGATGAAGCATATTTGCATTCAGATTTTATTTAACTCATTATTGTCTAAAACCGTGTTATACAGTTAATGAAACTTACCACCAACTAGTTTATTTCATAAAGTTTATAATTATTTGTTTATTCATTATCCCTTCAATCCTGCATTTGCGCCTCGAAAATTCTTTCAAGTTTTATAGGCCAAGATCATAATTTTTTATTAATTTATTACCTATCAACTCATGAAACGTATTTTCATTCCTAGACTTTTTATCTGAGGAAAAATTCGTACAAATTCGTGGGTGATATTAGATGTATCATTAACTGAACTTGACTTTGTAATTTGTTCCAATGTCCATCTTATCTCAATAGTTTCCATACATTATCATTCGTAATTATAACATAATACAAGATGAATAGTGATAGTGCTACCTTGTCGACATTGGATACATTATTCACTAGTTCAACATTTGATTCATTTGATGTTCTGTATACATTACTATTTGGACTTCTTGTATTTTGCATTATGGCACCGACTACAGAGTTTATTTCTGCTGGTGTAACATTGGAGAATTTGTTTAATCGATTTCTTGGTAATGAAAGTCAATACTTTGTACAGTATCATTTAAAAAGAACTGTAATGGTACGGTTATTTTCATCGTCTTTAGTCTTTTGTAAGTTTAGTTGTCTTAGTTTTTATTTACATCAATGTAGTTGGTATTTGATTTTAAACGGTAACTTTTAAGACGTATTTTATTTTGCGTAAAGGATGTTAGTTGGTAGTTTAGCTTCATGGACAAGTGTTGCTTCTCAACTAAGACACAATGAGCAGTCTGGACGTACGACAAACTCTCATGCATTAAATTATAGATTGGTATGCAATAAGTTTAAACATCCAAATCTAGTTATCAAGTATCTCTGTCAAGGTTATTGTGTTGTTTTCCCCTGTATAATTACTTACTTGCGTCTGTTACTCCTCGTGGAGAAGCATGGGCCGCACATCAACATTCTCCATCCAACCCTGTCCTGGGCAATCCTTTCTAGTTCTTTCCAGTTAACATTCATCCTTTTCATATCTGCTTCTATTTCCCGGCGTAATGTGTTCTTCGGCCTTCCTCTTTTTCGCTTCCCTTCCGGATTCCAAGTTAGGAATTGCCTCGTGATTTCCTCAATGTATGTTCAATGCACTTCGAACGTCTTTTCCTAATTTCCTCTCCAACCGAAAGCTGGTTTGTCCTTTCCCATAAAACGCTGTTGCTGATAGTATTCGGCCAGTAAATGTTGATCATTTTCCGTAAACTGTTTATAAATACTTTTAACTTCTCGATAATGGTTGTAATAGTTCTCCACGTTTCAGCTCCGTACAATAGAGCTGACTGACGTTCGTATTTAAGATCCTCACTTTGAAATTAGTTGAGATTTGTTTTGAGTTTCATATGTTCTTCAATTGTAGGAATCCGGTCCCTGCTTTTCCAATCCTCGCCTTTTCATCTGCATCAGATCCTCCTTGTTCATCAATGATGCTTCCCAGGTACGTGAATGTTTCTACATCTTCCAGAGTTTCTCAATCAAGTGTCACCGGGTTGATGTTCTCCGTGTTATATTCGAGAATCTTGTTTTTTTAAATATGTATTTCGAGGCCTATTGATGCCGAGGCTGCTGCTACATTTTCTATCTTCGTCTGTATTTGTTCGTGTGTATGGGACAGAAGGGCTAGGTCATCTGCGAAGTCCAAATCGTCCGATTGATTTCGATATGTCCATTGTATTCCGTGCCTTCTGTCAGGTGTTGAGGTCTTCATAATCCAGTCAATCACCAGAAGAAAGAGGAAAGGGAGTGTAAGCAGCCTCGTCTAACTCCGGTACTTACTTGGAATGCATCTGTCAGCCGTCCTTCATGCACGACTTTGCACTGTAGTCCGTCGTATGAGTTCTGGATAATGTTGACAATCTTCTCAGGAACTCCATACTGTCGAAGAATTTCCCATAATGTTCTGTCCACACTGTCAAACGCCTTCTCATAGCCAATGAAGTTGATGTATGACGACAAATTCCATTCAACTGATTGTTCCACGATGATCTGTAGTGTCACAATTTGATCTGTGTACGACTGATCCTTACGGAATCCAGCCTGTTTATCTCGAAGTCTGGCGTGTACTGCTTCCTTCACCCGGTTCAGCAAAACTCGGTTGAAAATTTGTCCTGTTACCGATAGTAGTGTGATGTCTCCATAGTTCTTGCACTTGCTCAGTTCTCCTTTCTTTTGTATCTTGATGAGGTATCCTTCTTTCCAGTCTGTTGGGACTTGTTCCTCCTCACAAATTTTCTTGAATGAAACATGGAGTATCTTCGCAGTAACTTCTATGTCGGACTTCAGTACTTCAGCCAGTATGTTGTCTGGTCCTGCTTCTTTGTCAACCTTGATCTGTCTGATGCACTTCCTGATTTCTTCTATCATTGGTGGATTGACATCTATAGGAAGGTCCGTATGTGATACTTCGATGTCTGGTGGGTTCAATGGAGCTGGTCTATTGAAGAGTTCTTCAAAGTGTTTTCCTCACATCTTCCTCTGTTCTTGAATCTCAGTGATTGGCTTGATTTCTTTGTCCTTGACTGGTCACTTTGGTTTACAATTTTTCCCTACTAGTTCCTTCGTTGTATCATATAGCTATCTCATATTTTCTCTTTTTTAGTTTTTGACGAAGTCATTGCTAGATCTTCCACGTATTTCCACCTGTCGGCTCTAATTCTCATCTTCACTTGTTTGTTTGCTTCTGTGTATTCTGAGTGTGCCTTAACTCTCTTTGTTCTTGTTCGTCTGTTGTTAATTGCTGTCTTCTTGTTCTTCCGTTCTTGAATTTTCTTTAGGGTTCCCATGGAGATCTATTCCTCATGATGATGCTTGTTGCGACCCAGTACCTCGTAACACGTCGAAGTTAATGCTACAATGATTCCTTTCCAGTTTTCCTTCATAGTGATTTCTTCTTTCAATAGATTCTTCAAAAACATGACATATTTAAAGCAAATGCGATTAAACATATGTAAAATTTCCACCTATAATCATTAGAAAACCTATGTTTACCTATACTTACATCCCAAAAACAGTTATAAATATATTACTCGGTACGCTAGTGGTTAATATACCTAGTTTCAAGCAGAGTAACAGGTTGCAACTCAGCTTATTCTGTCCTAATAGCTGGGTAACCTTACTAGCCCTTACGTAGTTCAAGTATAATTTGGAACTGAGTGCACAGATATGTATTCGAAAAATAATTTACTTCGTTTATTACATTTATTGATATGATGATAAAAATAAAACATTCTTATTGTTATCTATTTTCGGATCATTTGTGATCAAACCGTAAAACAGGATAGCAGTCGTATTGATCTAGTCTGATGTTCCGATTATTTTGCCAAAACTATCCATCTAGTATCAATGTCACAATGGTATTGAGATAACAGGTGAGAATAACACTGACTATTGGTTCAGAACTCAGTTTTCCACACTCGGTCGCTCGATATGGAGAATAGAAGACAGGACCCCTGACAGATAACTTCTAATTATACAGTTTGAATTTATAAGTCACTCGTACATTGATATAGCGTCAAATCCCGATCACTCCATAACCTTATAGAGGACTGATTAATGTGTCTATAATAAAGTAATAATAACTTAAGAAAGATACAGTACATAATAAGTCAGTCAGTCAGACACAACGTAGAACTTCGTACGTACGTACATCAGTTCGAGTTGCCATACCACATTAGCATAGAGATGCAGTTGTCGATTCAAATCCCATAGTGGTAGAAGTACTAAGACCATAAGCAGTAATTCGAAATATTAGGGTTTGAAGATGTTATTCAAGGAGTATAATACAATGAAATAAATTTGGGAGGAAGAAAAAGATGGAGACATAAAGAATTCAGAAGATTAGAATTAGGCAGAACACAAAGAGTGTATGCACCTTCGCCATTGCAAACGATTTTGAGCCATGTCATTCAAGGTCTCTAACCATGTAGGACAGTATAAAAATAATAGTTTAAATATTTAGTGGTCATGCAACAAAGGTATAAACATTAACTTCAGATAGAGCGGTTCTGAAAACTCAACTATGCATAGTATTTATCCCGTTATACCATTTATATAGTTTTAATAATCTATGTTAATACTTAATATTTTGAAGATTTTTGTGCGAGACTATAATTTATGGACAAAGCAATCATATATAAGATAACAGGTCTTGGATTTTGATGCAAAATTCATCGACCCATTAGTCTAAAGAGCGTTTTGGCATTATAGCTGATGTCAGTTCGGGATGAAAACCCTAAATCTAGTTCGTAACTCTAACCATCAACCGTAAATTATAATCCTAATTCCTCACACCGGTTTATAACCTTCATTTAGCCCTGGTTAATAGGTGGACATTCTCAAGGTCACTTTAGCGTTACTCAAACGTCGTCCATAAATTATGCTCTCACCGATTTTTATTACGCTTCTTGTTTATTTTTTCTAAATTGTAGTGTATTTTATGTTCATGCAGTTTCTGTCCAAAAATGTAGCAGTTTCTGCTCCAAATATTTCATTTCCATTTACAATTTGGGATGTTATTTTATGGATTGGCATAGGCGGTTTATCTATCATCGGATCACATACTTATCTAGTTTGGTATGGATCTGGTACATGGTATGGTCATCCAACAATTTTATCGTTGAAACAGACTATTATGGAATCACTACCTGATTCACAATCGTCATCTTCAACCACAGCATCATCATCCTTGTCAAATGGCGCATTTGGTGTCGCGTAAGCATATTTTACATCCGATATTTTTCTGTATACCTAGTGAATTAAAAAAGATTGTTATGCTATTCAAAACCTTATGTACTGTCCATATTTTGATCTTTAAAATAGTAGTTCAGTTGTGCAGTATGGTACAATATGGCGAACTGATAGTAGTTTTTCATAAAACTATCTACTGACTTGACAGCACTTGATTAGATTATGTAGATTTGTGACGGATTTATTTTATTTATTTAATTAAACACATAAATTTTGGTACAAGGAAGCACCAGATACATATGCGCCATACAAATCTCATTTGATTTGCTTGAGGGCTGTGATACTGCTCGGGTGCCCGAATCGAAGCAGCTGGTTTTCTTAGGGGCCCACACTCGGAGCCTTTGACCGAAAGATCTGATCCACAAGGCAGTGGAGCATCGTGAGGAAATGCAGTCACATGGTAGCCGGTGATCAACGATTGATTCATACACCATTTGTTCCCTCAGGATACTGGAGCCAGCCCACGTGCACCATTGGTTTGGAATGAGGGTTTTCCAACTCCACTAGGTGGACCCGCTGTATCCACCAACCCGGTTAAAGCACTGGACATTCGCTTTTCGTCCTCTCAATTTCGTGAAGAACACTCCCGCCACAAGAAGGCAGTGAGTAAGACTGTGACGGAAAGTGTCTTCAAGCAAAAATTATCGCTAAAACATACCTAAATAAAATCGGGGCTCACTAATGACTAACTTCAAAATAAATACCCGAAATTTCTATTTCAAGTTGTATTTAATAGAAATCAGCTATGTTGAAAAATACTGACTGAAAGCGTTGAGTGATCGTCTCACGACATTGAAAACATATTACTTTAGCGTAAGGAATCAAAATTTCCACTGAGTTCGTTTTGTATTTACGTAGTACAGAGCTGTAGAAATGAGTGCATTGTTCATTTGACCATTTTATATATATATCACCTAACCTTATTATTAATCTGACGTCTAAAAACAAACTACTATTGTCTCGTTCTTTATTTTAAAAGGAATATAAAATATAGGTAAATGTTCGTAAATATATCTCATAATATCAATATTTTCCAATCTGCAATACTGGAAAATAGTATTGTTATGAAATCGGAGGTGCTTCAGGTTTATTGTATCTATTAAACTCTTTAAATAATGTGCTTAGTCGTTCACACTAATCAGTCTATTCTTATATGTGACAATCACTCCTTAACTTGTTGTGAATCACACTATTCTCACTAGAATATTATTTTGTCTTAAGTATAAGATTTCTTCGGTATGTGAGTCCAGTTTAACACTTGAAAATTTAATGACTATAGAGACCACTGATTTTTATTTATTTCATCACATAACTTTGAATTAGTGAACAAATTATCAGAAATAGTATGAAATTACATTAAGCTTTATACTAGGCACCCACAGACAAATTTTCACAGAAAGCAATTTTATTCAGAGAAATACTTATGTTTCGTATATAACACTAGCCCCCAAATGCCCTGGTACGGTCGAAAGTGGTAAGAGTCCGCTCTCCTTCTCCAAAATTCTTTCACATGGCCACGCGTATACAGCATCTGCCAGGGAAGTCCTACTCACTGCCTTCTCGTGGCGGGAGTGTTCTTCACGAAATTGAGAGGACGAAAAGCGAATATCCGGCGCCTTAACCGGGTCGGTGGATACAAAGGGTCCACCTAGTGGAGTTGGAAAACCCTCATTCCAAACCAGTGGTGCACGTGGGCTGGCTCCAGTATCCTGAGGGAACAAATGGTGTATGAATCAATCGTAGCTCACCGGCTACCATGAGACTGCATCTCCTTACGATGCTCCACTGCCTTGTCGATCAGACCTTTAGGTCGAAGGCTTCGATTGTGGCCTCCTGAGAAAACCAGCTGCTTCGATTCGGGCACCCGGGCAGTATCACAGCCCTCACGCTAATCAAATGAGATTTGTACGGCACATATGTATTTTGTTCCAGTTTGTACCAATATTTATGTGTTTAAATAAAATAAAATAAAACTCAGAACTATTTTACTAATCAAATACTTTAAAAATCAAAACTATCATCCCGTCTTTTCGTTATATATACTAAGTTGAACGTGATTTGGCATCGTTGGTTTAACATATTGTTTAAAAAAGATTCTAAGAAAATCACGAATAAACAAAAAGAAGTAAATCTTAAGGGTAAAACTGATCACCACTAGCCTAATATGCAGCTGATATACTGTGATTTAATTTTCAAATGACTGTTATCTTATGACTCAACCCTTATGATTGCTCTAAACAAATAATATCACGTTTATTAACTACAAAAAAGCCCTCTTCTTATATTTCCGTCAAAATACTAACTATAGGAACGAAGCTGTTTCAGTCTGATTAAAATACAATTTAATCTGCTTTACAATTGTTACTCGCATTTTCCAAACTGTTGTATATTTTATTGAGTTTTTCAGCTCGAATTAGACCAACCGATCACTCATCAGTTCGTTGCAAACAAAGCGAATTATAAAATTCAAAGTTTGCCTAGCTAACATGAGAACGTGGTTCCAATGTTATAGATAATCACCCATATAAGTCAGTTCAGTTGAAGCTCAGTATAAATCTAGTTTTTTAAGTTGAAATACATTATAAATATTGATTAACTTGTAGATGTCTGTCTCACTTTAATACGAAGTCTTAATTTCCTAAGTTAACTTATGTTAATGATATCATTCTTAACTTTGGAAGTAGATTGTTTTATTTCGTAACCTCAATGAAATTCCTCATTCCGATCATCCGGCAAAACTTGTATTCAAAAGTTAACATAAACCTGCCTATTTAGTGAAATTGGTATTGTATTTGTGAACAGTTGGAGCTGCGGCTTAGTGGGTGAAACGTTCAATTTTCAGCCGCTAAGTCCCAGTTTCGAGCCCGCTCCACCTATATCTGTTCTGACAACCTAGTAGTACTGTGGTGTGGTCTACTTATATCCATATAAGTAGTGTATGGTGTGGGTCAGACATAGAATGTATTTTGGCAGAAGATCAATGAGGAAAGAACTGAAATGAAGCGCAATCGTTTGGAAAATGCATGAGCAATGAAATTAGAGAAGAAACAGTGAAGATTGAAACAATTGGTTGTTTATTTGCAAATTGACTGTTCATTGTTTGGTTATCAGAATTTACTGAGATAGTCTGTAATTTTTGCTTAAATACATTCGATTGTCCCCCAGTCGTGTTTTGTTCACTACAGTACCATTAGCCTTCCCACCTGAATTGTGTTTCATCCCCAAAAGTATGTGGTGAATAAGTTAGTTTGTTTGAATAGCTGATAAATTCCTAACGCACTCAGTTTCTCGAGTTTTAATGTCATTTATAAAATGATCATTTTTCAGAGTGCTTTATAAAGTCTTTCATATTTAACCTCTATTTTTTGTTTGAGTCTAAAAGCTTTGATATCTTCAATAAATTCTGAATATCAACGTTCTGACAAATTCGTAGCAGGTCAAGGAAGTTTATCAACTAATTGGTCTGGTCGGCGATTTGTTATCACAGATTCATGGATTTTAACTTCACGTTTTACTGAATTCAAAATAGTTAAACAATCTTCAGAAAATATGTTAGCTGTTGTTGTTTCAGCATTTTCAGTTCTGGATCCAAGCTCCCTAACTCAAGATGGTCAACCTGACGGAGAAAGTCTCGGTGTGCAAACAATTGTTACAGTGAGATTTATACGTACAGATACAGGAGTGTGTTTGCTTAGTTTTGGGTAAGTAATAATGAGTGTACATTGTAAGATGTTACTGTATTTGTTTTGGTTAATAATTTTCTAGTTACAAGGTTGATGGATTAATCGAATTTAGTATCAGCATTGATTCAATTAACCTGTAGTGATCCATTTTTATACTTTTAAAGTTATCTTCAGAAAGTTGTTAACCCAAGGGTTTTAATTTATTGCAGTCTCTCATTGGTGAATAAAAGTCGAAGTCATTTCCTTTCAAATTCATAGTGTTGAATTATTTCCAGACCATAGCTGCTTCCTTGATGTGGTTGTCAGGTTTGTTCATCGTAATGACCTAGTTGAGGTAATTGGCTAAAACACATTCATTTACATCTTGTCGTATTTACCAGACCAGTTGGTGGAAGTTAATAAGACTAAAAGCACCAAACTGAACTTTTTAGGGCAAAGCAATACTGGTAACTGCACGGAGGTGGAATAGCAGTAAGAAGTGTATATAAATAAATCATTCACCAGGTACTTTTGGATATGAGCCACAGTCTGAAGGCTAATAATACTAACCAATTGCTCAAAACGAATTAGATGATTCGGGGTTCGAACTTGGGACTTAGTGGCTAAAAGTTGGACGCTGTAACCCCACTAAGCCACTGTCTTGCTGGATGCGGAGTTAGAAGAGGTCGACCCTGGAAATAACAAACCTGACCTTATCTCCTGACCTTGACTCCGTCTCCGGGAGTAATGTGTGAGAAGAGTGGAGAGCTAATGCATCGAGAATTACTCGCAAAAAGACCATGTTTGGCCGGTCTTAACCAGTTTTTTGAAATCATCCTTATCCCTGTTCCTCTTTCAGGTTCCTCAAAAAGGAATATTTTTCCATGATGTAGGCAACCGATCAATAACAACAACTGTGATACCTCTCAAGTTAATTAATATGTTTTTTTCTGAGTGGCATCCAAATTCATGCTGTTTTGAATATTTGACTCAAAACAGAATCAAATCATAATTTTCATATCATTTCTTTAATTAATTCTGCTCAACACGTTCATCGCTGATCATTTCTACCTTTGCATATCGTTGAATTTCGTATGGTTTATAATGTTTGAACACTTTATTTCTATGTTTGGTGACTGATTACTTGTTTTAATAAGTTCTAAGCGTCTAAATTTCGTGAGCTGCAAACTTTTAACACCAACAATAAAAATGTTGCTTTGTATTTTCAGTAGACTTAATACTGATGAGATCAATCGTAATTCTAACATTATTTCCAACTTATTATTTCAAGATTTCCAGCGTCGAATTTAGATGAGTTGCGCAGTAAACTACGTTTCCCTTTAATACAAGCACAAGGTGTACAATTGGAGCCAACAATTATCCAAAGATTTATTGAAGCATTTGCACAAGTGGTTGATGAAAATCAACCGGTAAACCTACCATCTGGCTATGTGAGTTGTTAATATTTTATATGTACAACTGTAAACAAAATACTTCCTAATTATCAACACTCAATCAAACTTAAGGATTAATTTTATGTAGAATCTTTTCATGCTTCTATTTCTCCCCCCTCCAACTATTCAGTGAATTGTATTATTTCTGCTCACATCTTACCTGCCTTAGCATAACAAGTTTATATATCAATTTACTGTCTTCACAGTCAAAAGACTACTTCAGCTACTCGGTGTATTTACTTAGATATTTGTACAATTCTTCATTCATTAAGGATTGGTTTGTGAGATGATGGACTGTATTTATAGTCCAGCCTAAGGATCTGAGAGGTACTGTGTTTTTGAGCTAAATAGTTCTGTTATGAAGCTTTCGTTGTCTTTCCAGACACCAATAACATTATAATTTACTTTTTGAAGGCTTCACAATTAAATTATCCAGTTCAGAAAGCAGGTCATCTAGAAAAATAGTTTAGGCTTTAATCTTACTTTTAAGTTGATAAAACCGGCAACAGTCAGTCGACATCTGGCATGAATAACGCAAAAAATAACCAGTTCAGCATGATCGAACATTAACAGGTAAAAACTGTTCTAGTTTTTAACCATCCAGTAAAATTCAGACAAGACAATTGTGAAATAAAATAAGTTACTCATAAGTAATGTAACTAGATTATGCAACATAAATGCGACACAACAGTTCAGTATTTGGATATCAAATTGCTTGATTATTGAGAGTTAAATGTGCTATTTTGGTATCAGTTGATTCGGTTAAAGGTATGTTCAGAAAGAAATCATTTGTATGTAACTAGTATATGTATTGCATAATCCTGTTTTGAATAAAATATATATTGATGTTAAATGATTAAAGATTGTCGACAAGAAATCCTAGACCTAAGTCACGTGCTGGTTGACACTCATAAATAAGGCGTATCTACATCATTTGGTTAATTGATATTCCTTAGTGGATTTGAATATGTATCACCCAGTTTCACCATTCTGAGACGTTACAACTATGTTCTGTTCGGGTAGTGATGAACGTTCTGTCGGACTGAGATATTCACAATTGACCAATCATTAAGCAGTGATCATTGTCATGTTTGTCTAGTCCTACTTCAATGTTAATTTTACTGAAATAAAAAAAGTGTCAGTGAAGTAGAAGGGATTTTAACTTGGTGCTTTGTTGTAATGTGGTGAATAAAATGTTAATCTCCTTGACTTTTTGTTACCTTCATTTTGACCGTTGTGTTGAAAACTTTCAATATATAAAGTCATACTAACCTAGTTGAATACTTTGTTCATAATTGACAGTTTTAATTTCTTAATAATGCTGTTCAGTCATCTAGCTAGTAGCTCTCTCTCATACAATGGGGCCAATCAAAAATCGTACGAATGATGTGTGCACAATTGGTCAAGAGATGTATTACATTGTCTAGGAATGACACATAATCATTTTGTAGGAGATATATATACGAGTATGGGAATACAAGTTTCCTTCTCCATCGAGTACTGTGGACTTAAGTGTCAGTATCAATTCTCGTACACTAAATATCACAACAGTATCTTATGTGGATGAGGTTCAAAGCTCAGTTACATGAGTAAAATACACTTGGGGTCACTCATTCACCACAGTAGTTACGTCAGCCAAGTATCCCTTCAAAACACTTTTGATAATACGTTATGTTGCTTTACTGTTAAGCAGTAAGGAATGAATTTAAATCATGTTTTACATTCGCCAAAGTTTCTGAAGCCTAATGGTGCAATTAACCTTCTCACAATAGGGCTAGTTTATGGCTTGTCTCGGAAACTTGTATATCATTCCTTATATACAATATTTTACGGTTTGACCTAAAAATAATCTGTATATTTCAATTATTAAGATGTTGTGTACAGATTTCTCCATTTGAAGTTACTTTACGTTACAAAGTCACTGAAATCAGGAACTATTGAATGGCTGTCAGGTTTTAATTTAGAACTATTCAAGAGTCCTCACCTCATCCAGTATTCCAAAGGTATCTTGATTGTCGCAAGACTTCAAGTCCGTAGAGCCGGTCATAACTACAGTTGCGAGTGCACACGACTAAGGAGTCTGAAAATTTTACAAAACCGCTGTTTATCGCTTCATATTCATCGATAGCTCTTCAGTTAATGTCAGTCTCTTATAGAATGACTAACTTCATGTCTGTAAACAATTTTCATTCCGAAAGTTGTACTCGTAAGTAATAGACTGAATGTATCAAGCAGAATTTTATTCCCGAAAATATTGTATACCCTTTCATTCTTCATCTTGTCTGATTATTTTTATAAACTCACCTTAACAGAAATATTTAATACTTTTGTGAATATATATATATATATATATATATATATATATATATATTCGCGTTATGGTTCAAATTTCAACTCATCCAAATCAAAACATAATATCAGTCTGTGAGGTCATTGTCTATTGAACTGAGCCGTATCAGTTAGTGCATACTACTACTAGTATGTTGTTATGGTCCACTCGATTAACGTAACCAATGCTTGAAGTTATCGAATGAAATGGCTTACAATCGGTTGAAATGGCGCAGATCAACTTACTGTTTGTCTCATTTTAGATCTTGAATTTTAACATAACCTTGTATTCTTTATCAAGCAAATTCATTGTTTCTTCTCGAATCAGATTTTCTTTTCCTAATGTTTCCTACTACCACTATCACTATTTTAACTAGCTATAGATGCTACTCTTACAATTCGTCTCTCCGTTCTGATTATGATGTGGCAACTTGAACAGATACACATATGGGCGAATTTCTACATTGCATAATACTGATTGACTGGTTCAAGTGTCAGCTAACCAAATATTAGGTTTCAATCATACTGCATTTAATCTGATTCGAAAAGTCGAATCTTATCTATTTTTACATAATAAGTTTAGTACAAAGTCTAGTATATAAACAACTTATATCTGCTCACTAGGTTATAAATCTGTCATTTCATATTTTTGATAGTGTTTCACTCATTGTTATACATTTTTTTTAATTATTATCTTACTGTATACTTTATTGTTATCTATTTTCATACCTTTAAAGGAGTTGGGACAGTGCATTGGATGTATGGTACAACAAGTTAATGTCACTTTAAATCGTCAATGTGAAAGTTCACTCACCTCTTCTTCATCATCATTAGCAAATAATAGTAATCAGTCGTTAAATAATAATCAATGCGGTATATGTTATTGTAGACCATTATGGTGTTTAGAATGTTTAGCACGTTGGTTTGCTTCAAGACAAAGTAATATGCATCGTCCAACAACCCAATGGCTTTCTGGACGTGTGCCTTGTCCAACATGTCGCACATATTTTTGTGCTCGTGATGTATCACGACTTATTATTTCTCATCAACAATTGGACTGAAAATGTGCTTCATTTGTGGTACCAATCGGTTTTCGCCTTCTACCCATATTTCGTGTACACTTGAACAATTCTTCAACCATACAAACATATATATATATACATATATATATATATAATATACTCTACCTTACTGTCTTTCTTCCCGCCCTTGAAATGACTTGCTCGTGATATTTGTTTTTTTACCTCAGTAACTATTGAGCAACAGGCTGGTTTCTTTATCGTTCCCCTTTCTATATATGGGGTGTTCTTTTCTTCATTCGCGTTTTTCTGGTTTCTTATTCTGTTCATAATTTTTATAATTCTTAACTTGTTTGTAGCGTATAGTGGATTAAACAATTTGTGTATAATAAATTGGTTATTAAAACATTTCAAGTTTTTTGTCAAGTAAAATAAACAGTTTTTGTTTGTCTGTGTTGATTAGTTATTTTTTATCATTGGAGCAATTTTGTGGAGGCTGATTTCATTTTTGGGTTGTATCTGTTATAAATTGATCTCAGTTGATGTATTACGAGAACTATGGATCACTGGATAACTGTTTTCTTCTAGCATGAGACTTCTTAGCAGTACGCACCTTTAAGCTTATTAGCAGTCGAATCCCGTACTTTTAGGTTTCAATCATATACTAAGCCAAAATAGGTGCCTAAAGTTCTCTGGCTTTCAGTGATATTCCGTTTGAGATTAGTATGCAATAAAAACAACTTATAAATTATTATTTTTCCAAAGCGAAGTGCTTGTGAATTTTTAGTGAGGTAGTGTAATCATTAAATGGAATAAATAAATAATATATTTGTAGTATCCCAATGACTAGAAAAATTAGATTTTCTGACGTTTCGTAACTCAGTGTAAGCCACTTCTTCAGACAATAAATAACCAAATTAACATTAATCCAAGTTCAAATGGTACTGCAGAACAATAAGAATATTAAGCGATCAATCGGAAAACAGATCTGAATAAATCAATGTCATGTTATTTCGGTCAAGGTGATTCATAAACAACATGTTTGTAAATTAGTGTGTATGCATATGTGTGCACTGTTAGGGATGAAAATTGTGTAACCTTTATGGTGAGAAAGAATAAAATTCAATTTGTAAGGTAATACGGTGAAAAAAAACACTATATATTTCTTTGATGATTTTGATTATTTCCCTGAAGAAGTCCAGACAAGTTAGCTGGACGAAACGTTGGCATTATTTATATTTCAATCGCTGAGACTACTTCAAATATATATTTTTCACATATAATGAATTCTCTATACTCGGCGCCCAATTATTGTCAAACTATTCATTCTAACCTTGACGAATATTTGTATAATACTGTGAATTGTAAATAATATCAGATTAAGTGGATAGGATAGATAGTCCAAGTAGGATGTATGGTAATGCCTTCTTTTTTATTGAAACAAGTAGGATTAAGCATTATATGGAGCGCTTCAGTTACTGTCCTTTCTTTGTAATTGGAAAAGCATTTTCGTAGTAACTTGCTATTTATGAAATCAATTTGAAAATGGCGTGAACTACTATTGCCGATTTAATTTGAAGTCTATCTAGTTCTACGGGATTATTAGGAGGTTTCTTTGTGTACCTAATATATTCTTTGGTTCGAGTCAAGATTTCGCGAGATGACTCTCCAATATAGAAGGCATCACAATCGACACAGCCTAATTTGTAGACGCAGTTCTGTGTAAACACGAATAAGATTTTTTCTTTTAATCGAACTAAAGCATTTCGAAGTGTGTTCGTTGTTTTGTAACATACTTTAATTCTGTTTTGTCTTAAGATTCTTCGGAGTTCTTCTGTTGTGTTATGACGATATAGTAAAACTGCAGTACCAATCCATGGTATTTCATTCGATTTATTATTATTACGCACTAAACCGTCTTGTTTTAATATACTTCTAATCATCTTCATAGGAAAATTATTAAATTGTAAGATACTAATCACATTCTTTTGTTTGTACTCTTCTGATTTGACGATCTTGTTGATTCTTCTAAAAAGATTTAAAGCTAGCGAGGTCTTAGCGCTGAAAATGCTCTGCTGAAGAGTTTTAAAATTAGAACAACACAACACAAACTATTCTGTTCTCCAGTTGATAAGTACTAACCGTTATCTGTTAATTCAAAATAATTAATTATGGTTATAATGAATGATGAAATGATTCTCGTAATAAATCTATATCAATCTTCTAAACAGTGGGAACCATTAAATACATACTTTTCCCTGTTGTGCAGAAAATCTGCCTTACGTTTCTATAAATTCCCTTAGTTTGAAATCTTCAAACTTTCAATTTTAAGCAGTATATACATTGATCTTTGGACTATTTACTCGAATTTCACTAAACGGAATTTCCATCGATTAATTTTCTTGTAACATGGCTTAAATTCTGGTGTGATGTATGTTACAAGGCATCTTATCAACTATAAGTCGCTTAGATACCTAATTAGAATTTTAAAAGTCATCTTTGAGATGATTGTTAGAAAATGAGTTAACAGTCGAAGAATTAATGTTTATATAAGAATAATCTTCAAAATCATGATAAATTAGTTATTATTCATTAACTCTGTCAAATTCAACAAGCACGGGAAATACATCGGAGTAAGAGCTATACACAATAAGTATAGAAATTTAAATTCACTTAGTATTGTTTGTTTGAATTTTCCCATTGATGTTTTAGGGCTACAACTGGTCAGTCTCTAATTGGCATATGTGCATACTAGGCGTATTGCCTTGATATAGCTTAAATTCACAAGCATGGTAAGCAAAGATGGATAGTGGCTGGCAGTGAAATCCAGGACGCACGTTTCGTCCTATTTGGGACTCGTCAGCTGGATGTACCTGTATCTCAGAGTTGATGTTCACTCTGGGACCACTATCCATCTTTGCTTACCAAGTATAGAAATTGTTACAAGTAAACAAGTATCTAATATACACACAAGAAATGAAAGATGTACTGTCAATAATATTAAGAGAAAACAATTATGGTAATAAGCGAACTGAATATCATGATAAAGAAACATGATAAGCTATACTTTACATAAACATTTGTCAAAGTTTAAGTAAATAGTTTAATAAAAACTACCGAAAGTAAAACTATATTTGAAATAATCTCACCGAATAAAATTCAAATAATTTCAATGTTTTACTTAGCAAACTGGTTTTAATAGTTGGATTCATGAATCAATTAGAGCTAGACCACAACGCAAAACCTGGACTAACTGGACGTCCGTTTCGTCTTAGTATGGGACTCCTCAACGGTGCGCATCCACGATTCGGACCCAGGACGATCGATCTCGCGCGCGAACGCCTAAACTCCAGACCACTGAGCCGGAATCTAATGGTGTTGATGTCCAACTTCAACCAATACACTAATTTGTGCCACCGTCCACCATTGTCTTCAGTGAGTTACTATTTCACAACAGACCCCATTGAACTCTACTGGACACGGCTTCTCACTATACCTCCAGGATACACTTCTTGGCAACAGTCACTAGTTCCAAGGAGTCCCAATACTTTGACGAAACGGATGTCCAGTGCTTTCAGGCTTTCCATAGTGGTCTAGCTTATATTGACTCATGAATCCAACTATTAAGTTATTATAATATTCACAAAACCCTTTTTTGACTATAAACTGGGTTTAGTTTTCTTTAGGAAATTAACCAAAATTAACGTTGAAATTGTCACTGAAGTCATTTAAAATAAATGTTTTTGGATACTAATACGCCATATTTGTCCAAAATGATTGATTTTCACCAAAAGATTCTTTTAAAATAATATTAGTGAGCTGTTTTTGAACCATTATTTATTTTTTAAATCTTATAATATTGTTATATTATTAACGTTCATCAGTAGAAATTTGTTTTTTGCATCCGCCCCTACATGCATTTACCAGTCCACTTACTCTTGCGGAGCAAGGTATATAGGTCATAGCCAACGCTTGCTTTCAACTCGGATATGATGACATGTCCCGATATGGTTCTACAACGGTGTAATAAAAGCAGTTACAAGTTCCATTCTTGAACATTTAATCGACCCTAATCAATCCACAGGTTCATTGCAAGGTTGTTTTTACAATCCGTGAAAAAGTACCTAGATTTCTTTGTACCCAACTCCTTAAAACAACATAAACTATTGTTATCTATGAGTTGAAGCCAGAACTGTGTGTACGAATGAAGTACGTCATATCATTATCATTATCTTGGCCTTAAACTATTATTATTGCTATATTTCGTATTTAAAAATATACCCCTCTTTTTCTTTTTAACTGTCTCATATATTCATGATTTTATTCATATTTGTTTCTGATTACATTTCATTTCATTATGCACTTCTATTATATTTAATTGTTATAAGAAAATTTTTTACATAGTTGAAAGCATGAGTCAATTGAAGCTAGACCACCAAGGAAAACCTGGAAGCACTGGACGACCGTTTCGTACTATTGTGGGACTCCTCAGCAGTGCTCCTTCACGTCCTCACCTCGCGAGATTCGAACCCAGGACCTACCAGTCTCGCACCCGAGCACTTAACCGACAGACCATTGAGCTGGCATCCGATGGTGTTAATGTCTAACTTCAACCAACCCATGAAGTTGAGTAACCGTTCACCAATTGTCTTCAGTGAGTTCCTATCTCACAAAAGACCTGGTTTGAACTCCTCTGATCACTGCTTCTCACTAGAACTCCAGGAATTATCTCTTGAAGTCAGTCACTAGTGAGCATATGATTATAATCAGAAGGAGTTTTTGTGGATATTTCAGTATTTTCATAGTTGAAAGTATGAGCCAATTAAAGCTAGACCACCACAATAGGACGAAACGGCTGTCCAATGCTTCCAGGTTTTCCTTGGTGGTCTAGCTTCAATTGACTCATACTTTCATCTTACTTTATTCACATAATAGTCCGTTGTTAAGTTATCTATTTTATAAGCCTTTCTACTTGCCCACACACACAATGTTTCATTATTATTATCACTATTCATATTACGTAGTCTAGTATTGTAATCTCTTCATTGAAAAGAGATCCTTTCGCTGAATTTCGTGTTTTTATTGTTTAACTAAGAATTCTGCATCAAATTACAATCAATGAATTATGAATATGTAATGTTTCGTATGGAAAACGTAGTAATTTTCTATTTATTGATAAATTCACTGAATGTTGTGATCTTATACCTTATTTGTGAAACTGAATGAATCATAAATAGCAATCAAATGAGATTTACAGCCATTACTGATCTTGTATTCTACCGGTTTTTTTTGTAAGATTGAACAAGAATTTCTATATATATGGAGGGTGTTAAAAGTAGAGTAATGACAATTAGGAATCTGTTGTTTGCATAGTGAACAACATACACTTGAGACGTTTCCATTTTAAATTACTTTGGTTTAAAGTTATTAAAAGAATCATTTTTGATGAATGACAAATTTTTCTTCCTCAGAATTTTCTCATATTGAATTCCTTGAAAGTTATCAACTGCAGTTTATTTATTCAGTCTAGAAAACAGTGATGTGCTAAAATCATTCATATGGATAATTTCAAAAATCTGATTAGTTAGTAGTTTTATCCAGTCTTCCCGTTGAACACAATAATAATGTTATAATGTAAGAATGTTTGATTTTTTTACACAATTGACATGTTTTTGATGCAGTCCTTAAGAACCTTAAGGTGGTCAAACCAAAACGTAGCACAAATCCATGAAGTCAATGACAAGTGGACTGGGCCGTGTTGGTAGGTGTAGACTACCTGGTTGGGTTTCGCGAGATGATAGCAACCGATGGTTAGAGACCTTGAGTGATATAACTCAAAGTTGTTTGCAATGGCGAAGGTACATCCACTCTTTGTGTTCTGCCTAATTCTAATCTTCTGAATTCTTCATGTCTCTATCATTTTTCTCTTCCCAAATATATTTTGTTGGATTATACTCCTTAAATAGCATCTTCAAACCCTAATCTTTCAGATTACTGCTACTACTTCTACCACTATGGGATTTGAATCGACAACTGCATCTCTGTGCTTATGTGGTATGGCAACTAGAACTGATGTACGTACATACGGATTTCTACGTTGTGACTAACTGACTGTTTCAATAGTATTTGGTTGGTAAAATAAAATTTAATCCTGTAAACCAATGACAATGTACTTTGTCTATCATTTATCACACAGTTTACTAGACCTAATTCCTATTAGAGTTGATTAAGTTCATTCTCTGAATTTTATTCTCTTAATTCAACCGCTACAAGATAGTACTCAGAAATATAAACCAACCTGTTTGGATCCCTAAAAAACATTGAAGTTGAGCACTTTTAAAACGTCAGAGTGTAGGGCTGGCTAAGCGATCTCAATATTGCTTTTTAAGCCTTTTTTTGCTTGTCATGTCGAATATCTTTGTGAAATATATTACTCAGAGACTCTGAACCAAAAATAGTTCTGATGACTTTATAAATCATAATGGCGTCTAATTTTTCTCTGATGTAAAAGTGCGGTTATTATTTTCTTCCTAACTTTACTTTTTGTCCGAATTTCTCTTTCTCCTTCCTAGGCTCTCACAAACTGTAATTGCATTGTAAATACTATAATCTATTATCTCTTTATTCATTTTGTGGACGCTAAAACTATTTTCTTCCTAATGCTGAACTGAATGGGTGCAGAACAAAGTGTTAGTCAGCAGAAGTCACATAATTTCACAAGATATTCGCAGCTAAATTCTTTCCAGTCAACAAAAGGATCTGGTAAGTATTATTACTCTGAATAAATTGTAACTAATTTTAATCTCTCTAACTTCATCTATTATCCTGGATTTTGCTTTTATAACGTAATATAATACATATTTTTCAAGTGGATATACATATATATGTTACTCCAAGACGAATCCGTTGGAGTAGCTTCGATCTGAATTCATAATACTCCTTCATTATGAAGTGAATATGAATTTTCTGACCAGTAATGAATTAAAATCTTTTAAAAGTGTGAATTCAAAGATAACCATGTCTTTCTATTTTCTATTTAATTCAAACTAACTAAAAAACTCAAATCACAAATTCAAATATTTTTAGATGTTAAAAACGAATTAATTGGTTAGATAATCATAAATTGATCGTCTACGAACATTAATAGCCAATCTAAATTGTATATTCGCTACAGATGCTCTAATGCATATGAGGAATATAGACATATTCAACTGTCATGTGAGTAACATCTAAACATTTAAATATAGAGAAAGAATAAAAGAATGATGGTAGCAGCAGCTTCTACTTTAACGTGATTATCGGGCTTGCATATCAAGATGACTCAGTCGAACTAAATTGTATGGAACATTTACTCCTTTAGGTTTTACAGTGCTAGGTAGGTTGGTTGGACAACACTAAGCAACAGCTTATGGTTCGAGGGTGAAGTCGTACTGCTGACCGCACATAGTTCTGAATACAGTAAGGTTTTTTTCCTTAGAAAATCATCATTTTTAGCAATTCTGTCTGCTCTTAACGGAAGGAAGGATTTAAAGAAGTTCCCCCTGTAGAATATCGCAGCTTACTCTAAGGATTTCCGTTTCCACAGTTAAGCCGTTTCGAAGCTCAGATTTAGCAAATTAAAAACGTCTTAAAGAAAAGTCATGTGTGACTGACCTTAAATATCTCCCTTTTGAACTCTGCGTTCAGACTCCCAGTTCGATACCACCACTAACAATCCGGTTCTTTTTCAGGTCCCTTAAGAGGAAATATTCTTCCACAACTTGAGGAAATAACAAGTAATTGCTTCCCTTATACCTCTAACAGCACTCAAATCACCTTAATAATCGAACGCCATATTCACTAAATACTACTTCCACTTTCAACATCGACCCTCATTTTCTGTCTTTGATTTCTTCAATACGTTCTACCAGTGCCTAGAATTGTAGCTCAAAACATTTTATTCAATGTCTCCTGTAATCACACTTTAAGCTACATGCCGGAGCTTTCAATGTCCGAACCCTATATCGAACAGAACAATAGTTGTCACTAGCTTAAACTCTATTATTTCATGCCATCAATGTATAATGTATCTCTAAGAATCTAGCATGGTCATTCACTTGACCTCATCTAACCAGTATGGTATGTTAACGTAATGCAACCTCTGTGTCTGGAGATGCATAAATATTGGTACAAGGAAGCACCAGATAAATATGTGTCGCACAAATCTCATTTGATTTGTGTGATACTGTCCAGGTGTCGAAACTGAAGCAGGTGGTTTTCTTAGAGGACCACACCTGGAGCCTTTGACCAAATGGTGTGATCCACAAGGCAGTGGAGCATCGTGAGGAGATGCAGTCCCATGGTAGCCGGTGACCAACGCTTGATTCATACGGCATTGGTTTGGAATCAGGGTTTTCCAACTCCCCTAGGTGGACTTTCCGTGTCCACCTACCCGGTTAAGGCGCCGGACATTCGCTTTTCATCCTCTCAATTTCGTAAACAACAGCCGTGGTGCGAGAAGGCAGTGAGTAGGACTTCCCTGTCAGAGGCTACATACGCGTGGCCATGTGTGAGCATTTCGAGAGGAAGAGCGGACTCTCCCCACTCTCGGCCGTACCAGGGCATTTGGGGGCAGCGGCACTTTGTGATCTTGCCGGTTTTGGTCTAGCACTAAGTCTAAAAGCCTGAATTCACAATCTCTCGGGAAAGGGTTAAGTATCATTATGGTAAGTACCTTATTGAGAGGTGCATCTTCTGTGACTGTTTGGCCTAATAATGGTAATCAGTGGTTTAGATGCTAGATAACGTGGCTCTCACCAAGTCACCATGAAGCAAAACCATTTGGTTTCACTCTGCTCTATTCACATACATTTCACTCTTTTATCTCACTTGTTTTTCTTGGAGTAAATTTATTATGTTTAGATTTTTTCGTATTGATATTTTGTCGTTTTGACTTGTTCACTTACCTCTCATCCTGTTAACTGCCGTTGTTGCTATGCTGTTGTGAAATATAACAATTTGGACAGATACACATCTATCCCAAGTAATCCATTGCTATAACTGACTGACTAGATCTTATTTCACTTCGAATGTCATTCCTTTTATGGATGTACTGATTTATTGTACTTAGGTCGTTCTTCATCTCTACCTTCTTCGCCTCAATATGATTGGCATCGTTCATCATTACCAGGACTTGCTAGTACTTCGTATTTGAACAACACTAACAACAGTCGCAATTATGGTAGCTTGCAAACTCCTTCTAAGCAAAAACAGCAACAACGAGGTTCTGTATCTAGTCTGCCAAAAGATACTCTTGCTTCATCATCAACTGAGCTGGGTTTAGATATATGTCAAAGATCTTCTTCGAATAAATCGTTAACCTACTCCTCATTTGACAAGTTATCCTCAACAACTAATCGCAGACCAGCTGAGGCCGGTATTCTGATAGTCAATCGCGGTCGACAAACTTCAAGTCATTATGATTTAAGTGGTAGTAAAGATGGTTGCAGCAATGATACCAACAATCATTCGGAATTAGGTCGAGTTATGTTGAAAAAACTTCAACGGATTCCTACGTTTGAACCACTTTTATCTACTATGAAAGTACAGCATCATTCGTCAATGGTAGCAACAATAGCGAATCAACCATATGCATCAACTTCTCAATCAATTCCATCCTTGTCGTCGTCAACGTCAACATCATTTAAAAAAAAGCAATTTATTCCAAATATTCCAGAGTTTGATTTTGAAGAGGTAATCTGTCAATTATCGATTATAGAGAAATATTTATGAATTTATTGAAAAAAATTTTTATTAATGTGCAAACATAATTTTATATTAATCTATGAATGAATTTCATCTTCACGTAGGTATGACTGATGATGGTTCTACAACTTGCTAAGTAGAAAGATTGTTGTTAGGTTTACTTGGTTTGATTAAAGTAAAATACAATTGTCTTAGTTATACGTAACATTTCTATTTGAATATTTATGTATAGTGGAGAAGATTTGTAGCGCAGGTAGGTGATTGTATCGATTTCAATGTGTTTGTTCATTTCTGATTGACCTGAGTGCCAAGCCTCTAAAATATTTCTGGTGCTTTTAATATTCCATCTATCCAAGATCTCAACATTTTCCCAGTCGAATGTGCGTCCACAGTTGTCCACATGGATTAATATAAGCGAGGATATGTCGTGGTGTTTGACAGGTAATTGATGTTCCTGCAGGTGAAGATGAAAGTTGTTTCTACTTTGCTTGATGTAGCGTTATTCTGATGAGATGTGGAGCAACCTGAACCGATGCATAAATGTACCGTGTTGTACGTTACGTATGACTGACAAATTGTTCGCTTCTTCAAACTGTTGTCTATGCAACGCTTACAAGACGAAAATAATCATATGGTTTGGAATAGGTTTTCGGATCTTAAGAAATTTTAAACACACCGTTAATTTTGAAATTGCTGCTTTTTCTCTAACTAATACAATTGGGAACCTATGAATTAAAAATAGATATCACTATAATGCTATCTCATTCTACTTGGGGATACTCAACAGTACAAACTCACAATGTTGCATACAACCAGTCGTAAGACCTTTGCAGAATAGATGTAACATACCTAGTAGTGGAATCCATGACAGACGTTGTTGTGAATTTTAAAACAGGCCGTTGCCAATTTGCTATGATTTTATGTCCGGCTTTTTGTCACGTGATTTATTCACCAATCGGAATATGACTTGTCTAATCTTAACACTGTGCCAAATCAATGACTTTCAACTGGCATGAGCAGTTTAGCGTCTGTATTGGTCCCTTGTCCGCCTAGTCACTTCCAATTGAGTCCGAAAACACCAATTGCAGCTTCTGCTATGCGAACCATTTATTTCAAGCATACTAGGTTTATATACTAGATAGACAGACAGATCGCATCCCACCATAAAATAGGAAATAATATCTGCACAAGATCAAGATCAAGCTATGACTCTGAACGTGGGAAACAGTAATCAATAGATTGAATATAATTTAGGAACAGTAATTCGTATAATAATAATAAATAGGTCAACATGAAGCTTATAATAAGATGAATATAGATACACACAACCGAATTGATCAATACTTAAACAATAAGAATATATATAGAATAATCGTTGATTAATTGGTCCCGGAAAGTTACCCGTACTTATTTCTTCGCTAGGATATAACAGACATTTCTTTCTATTCAGAACTCATCACTCGGCTGTATCTGCATACCAAAGTTGATGTTCACTCCGGACTTCAGACAAAGTACCTTTCATTTTCAACACTGAACATATTGGTTTGGCTACTAATTCCAGAAAGTCATTCACATATTCAACAACTATAAGTTTTAATCCAGTTCATAGTCGACAATAAAACAATGCAAATGTTTACAAATTGAATTAAGATCTTTATATTTTGCGATAAACAACTTCTTAATGTTGGGATGAACCTGCAAAGTCGGCAAATGCAGTCTGGATATCAACCTCGAATCTTCAAAAACAAGAGGGGAGGTGTTCGGATGATCCTGCAAATTTCTCGCAATCGACATGACAAGCTTAGGAAACATTAAGAAGCATTTTATCCAATCAGCGTTTGATTAGAAGTTTGGCTAGAAATATCGCAAAAATGAAAAGTCACATGTAGATGTTCTGATTGGTTGATTACTACACTACTACTATGTTTAGTAGTATTCTAGAATTTTCAGGAAAACCCAAAGATTTCTAACATACTATAAAAACCGTATACTTTCTGTTCATAAAGGAACCTTTGGAATAAAGTGCTTCCCGCATATTTTGTGCCTTTTCTCTCGTGTTCAAGTCGCTGTGTATTTCTAGCTTGCGGGTTACGAGACTAGATTAGTATCCAAGTGTAGCGTTCAATCAACAAGACTTATCCGTTAACAATTATCTTCGCTATTCATTTTTATTCTTTTCCTTCATAATCTACCATTTTGTAACATGTTTACACAATGCGATATCCTTTAACCTTTGAACTTGATTGTAATTAAAGTATCATTCATTATTTACTTGCTATTTTATTCGTAACTTTTTTTAAACTTTTCTTTACTTTTTTTTTCTTTCTTATAAAACAGTTGGTGAAAATGTCATCAATTTATGAACAATATTTGCATAAATATACTACTGAATTGTCACAAAAACAATCTGATCTTATCATTATACAAAATAAAGTGAGTAATATATACTTTTTTCCTATTATTTTAAACTACATTAGTTTTTTTTCATATTGTTAATCTGTTCACGACAAATGTTTTTGATACTGTCTTAGCTCTACGTTTTACTGTCATCCGATTTAGATACACACACACGCTTTCTGTATGCTTACTCAACTTGATATCCAAACAAAAAGACAAAGAAATAATCAACAGGCTTCGATTGATTACCTGAATAAGATATACACAAACCATAACTTTACATATATTTGTCTTTCTTACCTAAAGAACAACATCTAAACCAAGACTTTGACTAGGTTCATAATTAGTATCTCTTAATGGTGTACCGTGTGTACAATCATTCACCAACTGTTTGACCTTTAGATTCATGAAATATTTAAACTGAACTGATAAACTAGTCGATCATGTTGGGTAATTTATTCAAACAAAGGTTTCTAAATTTACTAGTGTTGATTATTAATGGATCACTAGTGTAACAATAAGTTTATAATCTGAGGTTATTTTTTTCGTACACATTGATGAAATCGCAATCATAACTCTTCAAGATTATCGACTGTCAGATAATTGATCTGAAATATAATAAATGGATACCACATTGATGAAGTCCAACGATCATTTCATACTATGAATAAAATTTCTTTCGCTATGAACATTTCCGGATGATCGTTACGCTATAAAACCAAATTGATTTAAGTTGAAAGTGTTTTTTAGCTGTGAAAATACAGGGTGATCTAATGATTAAATGGCCTACTGAATAGGACCCCTAAAAATACAGTTATCCAATGTTCCTTGGTTCATAATGGTATTGTAGTTGAGAATAATCTATGATGAATACAATCAAATTAATTTATTGTTTACCCTTTGTAGTAACATGACAGAAAAACTAATTCATAACATAAATTTATTTCTTTTCTTTACCTCTTGTTTTTCTTTTTCTTTTTAAACAGATTGATCGAGATATTACACAACTTGTTGATACACTTCAAGCACGTGAAAAAGGCATCAGCATTTCTCAACATTCCATTAGTTCAATATTTCAAAGTCCTTTCAATAGTCCAAAAAAAGTTAATACAACTATTAGTTCAATAAATGACTCTTTAAAATTATCCGGATCACAACAGATTGAAAGTATTGTTTTATTAACTAGTCAAATTTCATGTTTATTAACACAATGTGATGAATTAAGTAAACAATTAATGAATTCAATAAATAATTTAAATGAATTATTACCTGAATAGGATGTAATTAAGTTTTAATTGAGTAGAATATTTATACATAACCAAATAATTATTCATTCTCTGAAGTAGTAGTAGCTTACACTGAATCACGAAACGTCAGAAAATTTAATTTTTCTACTCATTGAGATAGTACAAATATATTACTATTTATTTATAACAATCTATCCAATGCTCAATTTATTCAAAATTATCAAATCAAAACTTGGTAATGATATCTATAAACTTGTAAATAATTTACTTTCCTTATATGATTATCTCGTTTGATAATAATAATGATTCTTTTCAACTGATTTCTATAACTGACATTATTTTAAAATTTATGTCAAGCAGTTAGAAATGGTTGAAAACTGGGTGAATGATCTTGACTTTAGGTATTCATGCGCAAAATCGAATGTCTTGATTCCTTTTGATGGTTGAGCTGTTGTGGATGCTCAGTAATGAAGAGTTTCGTTCTAGGGTGAATTAGATGTTTAGTGCTTCTGGATTTCTCAGTGGCTTTCTAACTAAGATCATTCTGTGATTTACGCTATGGAATTCAGTCAATGAAATACAAGAAAAAGAATAAATTCGAATTACTTACAAGTAGTATCGTTATACCAAAAGGATGGGTAGGCTCTGGAAGAGATGGGAACTGTTACGTATCTGTGTAGCATAATTGCTAAACAAGGAGTATCTGATGCAAATGTGTAGGCATGGGTTGAAAAAACAAGGACAGCACTCCTATAATTGAAAAAGAACATCTGGAACTCAAACACAACTTTTATGCGACACCGAAGTCAAAATTTTTAATAAGAACGTCAATACAGTTCTACTGTATAGAAATAAAACTTGGAAAACTACTACTGTAGTGAACAAGAACACGAGTGGGGACAGTCGAATGTATTTAGGCACAAAATTACAGAACGTCTCATTAAAATCTGACAACCATACAGTAAAAAGTTAATTGGCAAACTATCAATCAAATGTCTCAATCTTGACTGTTCCTTCTGCAAATATCAGCCCACCGTCTTTGTTTATTATTGTTCATACATTTTCATACCGACTGCATCCTGTCGCTGTTATCTCCTAATCGATCTCCTGCTGAAATACATTCTATGCCCGACCTTCGTTATATACTACTGGTGTGGATATAAGTAGTCCACAATACACTACAACCCTTATCAAAGGGTACAGGTGTTTATGAACAGTTATCTACAAAAGTCTCTTCATATCCATTGGGCAGGTATCATCAGCAATAGCCTACTGTGGCAGAGAACGAACCACCTTCCAACCTAAGAAAATTCAAAAAAGACATTGGAGATGGATAAGGCACATATGGTGGAAATCATCAAACTACATCTCAAGGCAAGCCGTAATACGGAATTTTCAAAGCAAAAAGAGAAGAGGTAAACCGACGAACACATTGAGGTGGGATTCGGAGGGACATATTAAAAGTGAATATCACTTGAGAACAACTGAAAAGCAGAGCCCAGGACAGATTTCAATGGAGAATCCTGGTCGGTGCCCTGTGCTAGCATTTGCTTGCATTGCATTACAAGATAATTGTGTAAGTTTTACTTGGATATCTTCCATTGTTTTTGATGTCATATGTGAAGTAGTGGTTTGTGCACCTAAAATGAATCACGGTATTTGTGTCAATGTTAGTTGTACTCCCTGGCTACGCAAACGAATGTAAGTATAAATCTTCAACCAAAAAGTTTAAAGCTGAGTAGCTCTCTCTAGTTGCACTTGTTTAACAGTTATCACCTGAGGAAGAAAACCAAATCCTTTCCAGTAATCTAACGTATAAGTTCGTTGTTTTCCAACATATGAAAAAAGCTGTAGGTGTTCAAGTGTTCAGAAGCTGTTTGTGACATTCATGTGTGTTTTTTTTCTCTGGATATGGTAATTCGGTGGGTTTTTTGAAATAGCCACATACTCTTACAAATGTTATACATTGAATACATTCTGTATTGAATGACTCACTCTTCATTACACAATAAATCAACATGTACACATGATTGGATAATAGTTGATTATGTACCTATGTAAAACCTAATTAATTTTATTATCATGATTTCAATCATGGTCCCCCAGGGTGATTAGACTAGTTAGGAAAGCTCATCCTCAAGATTGTTCGAAATTTTATTTTCAATCTTAATAGTGATAATTTCATTGTACTTACTTCAGACAAAACATGAAATAATTACTCAGCAAACGGGTATTTGTTTAATAATAGTAATTTCTGCACACATAATAGCCCGTTGAATCCATGTTGGATTGAATTCCCCTTGATCAGTGTTTTTTATCTGAGTAATAATATAAACTATTGTATTAAGACATCATATTCATACGATGTTCAACGTATATATATCTAGAAGACATCAATAATGCGTACTTGGATTAAAATACCAATAATGTCGATGGTATAGCTTCTGTGAAATGAGAGGATTTACCGGATATCACACCAATGTGTAAGTGCATTCAAATAAAAAAAAATCTATCTGACATCAAGCTAAAGGCAAACAAATATTAATTTCTATACTGGTTATAAATGGTATAAGTGTAAGTTGAGTAAAATATGATTAAGCGAAAAACACTTTTAAAAGCTTATGATCCTGATGAGTACTTATTTGAGTATCAGGATTCGAAAACGATAATTATCAATTACAAACAGCTTAAGAATTCAGCTGAATATTCACAGTATGAAATATAGGAAATTTAAGTCTTGCATGTTTGGACGATTTGTGTGATTAGCCATCTGGTTGCCGTTTAAGATACTGTACAAAGTGAATCTAGTTTTACTGTTAAACATGTAACACGAACACTGTTTCTGTTAATTTATTATACTGAAAAACAAATCTAATCACATTTCTAAATCATTCGTATTTGATGAGTCGAAAATGGAGGTTCTTAGTACTAGCTTAAATGGGGCAATATTTTCGCTAGACAAGCAAATACACATCGCTAAACATATTACTTCTGCATTTATTTAAAACAGTATAAATCGTTGATTCATTACAGTGTATTAGGATATTAACTAACCTCACATGGTTTTCTCATGTGACTATCGCGGTTGTGTAATGTGTTTATCGATTTAACTAACATTTGCTGAATAGCTAACAGTAATCACATAGAATTATCAGAAGGGGTTTTGTGGAGATTTAGTATTTTCATAGTTGAAAAGTACATCAAGGAGTTCTAGTGAGAAGCAGTGACCAATGGAGGTCAAACCACATCTATTGTGAGATAGGAACTCACTGAAGACAATTTGTGAACGGTTGCTCAACTTCGTGAATCAGTTGAAGTTAGACATTAACACCATTGGATCCCGGCTCAGTGGTCTATCGGTTAAGGGCTCTGGTTCGAGACTGGTAAGTCCTGAGTTCGAATCTCACTCGCGAGTGCGAGATCGTGGATAAGCACTGCTGAGGAGTCCCACAATAGGATGAAATGGCCGTCCAGTGCTTCCAGGATTTCTATGGTGGTCTAGCTTCAATTGTCTCACGCTTTCAACTATGAGAATCACATAAAAGCATATTTGAAGAAGTTACAAAAATCAACGTGGATAGTATTAACACAAAGTACTTGTAACACAATATGGAGTAAAATCCATCCTGATTAAGCACAAACAGTCTGATACAATGAATGTGTGTCACAATAAGCTTAAACGAGTTCTCCAGCTTTTTTTTCCTTATTGTAATTTATAAAACGGTGATCTGATTACTAATAATAGTTATTGTTCTGTTGTAACGGTAGAAGTTAAACTAACTTTTAATTCACTATTGGATGATATATTTTCGAAATGTATTCACATCATAATTCACCAGAATGCAGTATATCCGGCATTCTATTGAAATTATGACACAAACAATTGAATCAGTTATAGTCTTTAAGTGATTGTAGTGGATCAAGAAAATTCAAAATTTCTAACATTGAAACTACTTTTGTGATTGATTGATTTCTGTAGCACAAATTATTCTATCTTAACACTATGGTATTATCGACAAACAAACTGTGTCAGTTCAGCCATTATTATTATCTATCTTCACGTTGTTATTTTTATGCTTGTGTTGTGGCGGACAAAAAAGCATATTAACTCAAAAATGGCATTAAAGTTATTACGTCCAAAAGTAAATATAATAGTATACAATTTATAAGTTATGAACACAAATAAAAGTTAAATGACGTTACATAAATCAGCTGATTGGTGTGTGTTCGGTTGCTCTTGGTACCAGGATCCACAATTATAGGTAAATAATAATTCCAGTGAGGTTGATATGGCTACAGTAATATAGCCAAATGTATAATATAATGGAAATGTTTATTATTATCGTTATTTAAACACATAAATATTAGTACAAGGAGGCACCAGATATACATGCTCCGCACAAATCTCATTTGATTTGTATGAGGGCTGTGATACTGCACAGGTGCCCAAACTGAAGCTTGTGGTTTTCTTAAGGGGCCACACCCGAAGCCTTTGACCTAATGGTCTGATCCACAAGGCAGTGGAACATCGTGAGGAGATGCAGTCCCATGGTAGCCAGTGTCCAACGATTGATTCATACGACATTTGTTTCCTCAGGATACTGGAGCCCATGTGCACCATTGGTTCGGAATGAGGGTTTTCCAACTCCCTTAGGTGGATTCTCTGTGTCCACCAACCCGGTTAGAGCGCCAGACAATCGCTTTTCGTCCTCTAAATTTGGTAAACAACAGTAATGTCACGAGAAGGCAGTGAGTAGGACTTTCGTGGTAGAGGCTATATACGCGTGGCCATTTGAGCATCTCCAGAGGGAGAGCGGACTCTCCATTCTCGGCCGTACCAGAGCATTCGGGGACAATGGAAATGTTATCATAGTGTGATTGTGTATGATTGATCACGTGTTACAGACCACATATACTCCTCTTACTGGCTCAAGTGTTGGTACCCGAACCGCTTGATGACTCATTCTCGTGTTTATATATTTGTGATTGTTAGCTTCAGTTCAGTCATCAATGTTATCTTGGAACATTCAGAAACTGAAGCGTTGGGTTCAAATTCATAGAATAACCACTGGTTTTTCGTGTACGGACACGACTTGCATCTTAGTTATTGATGTGTGGGCGAGAATGATAGTGATTGGTTGTCTCGATGAGTCAGACATTAGAGGGGATGACAGGTGTTATATGTGTTATATATATTCCCCTATCATTATTATGTATTGACTGTTTCTTGTTGATGGACACTTATTGATTGACTGTTCTTTGTGTCGGATTTTGGTGTGGAAATATATATTGACGTTATAGTCAGGCTAATCTTGTGTTCTTGATTTGA